GGAATAACATCTTGTAGGAGTGAGGAAGAGCCAGTTGTGAGTGGGGGAAGTTCGTGAGGCAGTAGGTAAAATGAAAGGGGGTAAGGCAGCCGGGATTGATGGGATAAAGATAGAAATGTTAAAAGCAGGTGGGGATATAGTTTTGGAGTGGTTGGTGCAATTATTTAATAAATGTATGGAAGAGGGTAAGGTACCTAGGGATTGGCAGAGAGCATGCATAGTTCCTTTGTATAAAGGCAAAGGGGATAAAAGAGAGTGCAAAAATTATAGGGGGATAAGTCTGTTGAGTGTACCTGGTAAAGTGTATGGTAGAGTTATAATTGAAAGAATTAAGAGTAAGACGGAGAATAGGATAGCAGATGAACAAGGAGGCTTTAGGAAAGGTAGGGGGTGTGTGGACCAGGGGTTTACAGTGAAACATATAAGTGAACAGTATTTAGATAAGGCTAAAGAGGTCTTTGTGGCATTTATGGATTTGGAAAAGGCGTATGACAGGGTGGATAGGGGGGCAATGTGGCAGATGTTGCAAGTGTATGGTGTAGGAGGTAGGTTACTGAAAGCAGTGAAGAGTTTTTACGAGGATAGTGAGGCTCAAGTTAGAGTTATGTAGGAAAGAGGGAAATTTTTTCCCAGTAAAAGTAGGCCTTAGACAAGGATGTGTGATGTCACCGTGGTGTTTAATATTTTTATAGATGGGGTTGTAAGAGAAGTAAATGCGAGGGTCTTGGCAAGAGGCGTGGAGTTAAAAGATAAAGAATCACACACAAAGTGGGAGTTGTCACAGCTGCTCTTTGCCGATGACACTGTGCTCTTGGGAGATTCTGAAGAGAAGTTGCAGAGATTTGGTGGATGAATTTGGTAGGGTGTGCAAAAGAAGAAAATTAAAGGTGAATACAGGAAAGAGTAAGGTTATGAGGATAACAAAAAGAGTAGGTGATGAAAGATTGAATATCAGATTGGAGGGAGAGAGTATGGAGGAGGTGAACGTATTCAGATATTTGGGAGTGGACGTGTCAGCGGATGGGTCTATGAAAGATGAGGTGAATCATAGAATTGATGAGGGAAAAAAGGTGAGTGGTGCACTTAGGAGTCTGTGGAGACAAAGAACTTTGTCCTTGGAGGCAAAGAGGGGAATGTATGAGAGTATAGTTTTACCAACGCTCTTATATGGGTGTGAAGCGTGGGTGATGAATGTTGCAGCGAGGAGAAGGCTGGAGGCAGTGGAGATGTCATGTCTGAGGGCAATGTGTGGTGTGAATATAATGCAGAGAATTCGTAGTTTGGAAGTTAGGAGGAGGTGCGGGATTACCAAAACTGTTGTCCAGAGGGCTGAGGAAGGGTTGTTGAGGTGGTTCGGACATGTAGAGAGAATGGAGCGAAACAGAATGACTTCAAGAGTGTATCAGTCTGTAGTGGAAGGAAGGCGGGGTAGGGGTCGGCTAGGAAGGGTTGGAGGAGGGGGTAAAGGAGGTTTTGTGTGCGAGGGGCTTGGACTTCCAGCAGGCATGCGTGAGCGTGTTTGATAGGAGTGAATGGAGACAAATGGTTTTTAATACTTGACGTGCTGTTGGAGTGTGAGCAAAGTAACATTTATGAAGGGATTCAGGGAAACCGGCAGGCCGGACTTGAGTCCTGGAGATGGGAAGTACAGTGCCAGCACTCTGAGAGGGGTGTTAATGTTGCAGTTTAAAACTGTAGTGTAAAGCACCCTTCTGGCAAGACAGTGATGGAGTGAATGATGGTGAAAGTTTTTCTTTTTCGGGCCACCCTGCCTTGTGTGGAATCGGCCGGTGTGATAATAAAAAAATAAAAAATATGTGTTGTGTATATATATATATATATATATATATATATATATATATATATATTTTAATATATATATATATATATATATATATACATATATATATATATTTATATATATACCTCTCTTTTGACCAATGAGATGCTTTAATGAATTGTTTATCCATCTGGGATCATTTTTGGATGATCTAATTTCCCTACTTGGAACATAAGTTGTCTGGGCAGCTAGAATTATGCTCTGAAAAACGTCATATTGGCAACCAACACCATCTACCTGACCCATAGTCAGGTCACTCCAATTTAGCCCACCCAGGTAATTTCTCAGTCCCATGAAACTGGCCAAGCAGAAGTCTGGGACAGAGACTTGATCGCAGTTATTTGGGCAATTCCTTGATATATTGAAACTATGTGATTTGTGATTGCTTTCCCCAAGCTCATCATTAACCCCAAGATTATTAATTAGTGATTCCTTGTTGCCAACAAAGAAGTCAAGGAGGTTGTTTCCTATAGTTGGTTCTGTGACAAACTGTTTTAAAAAGCAATCATGTATCGTATCAAGAAAGTCACTAGACTATAGATTTTCTGTTATATTTTACCAGCCAATTTGTCTCAAGTTAAAATTTCCCATTATCACGACATTATCATATCTAGACGCCTTATGAATTTCGTCTCATAGCAGCTTACCGTACTCCCTATCAAGATTTGGAGGCTTAAAAATCACATCCAAAATTAATTTGTCACGACCCTCGAGAAACTGTAGCCAAATTGATTCTGTGTCTGATGCTTCTAATCTTATGTCTTGTTTAACACAGCAATTTAAATTATCTCTGACATACATCGCCACTCCACCACCCTTCCTGTGGAATAGTTTATAGCCTTGTATATGTTATTTAGAAAGCATTTCTCTATCTTTCAGGTTGATCCAGGTCTCTGTTATAGCAATAATATCTGTATTAGCTGCACATGCAAGTATTCTTAGCTCATCTATCCTATTTCTTCGACTCCTACTATTAGTTTAGTAACCCTTAAGGGAGCTAGTCACTCTCTGCTCTCTACTGTCTCTCTTTGTTTGTTGATTAATTGCTTTGCCTTTACAAACAACTTTATTTTTGAGTATTGTCTATGAAACATATCCCTGAGGTATCCTGATAATATCTACTGCTTTCAACCCTTGTACAGCAGCTTCATTGTTTCCCACACACACCCATACCTCTATAATCCATTAGTTTAAATTCCTAGACAAATCATAAATGGCCCCCTCAAACGAGTTGGCTAATGCAACCACTCCAGCCTCTGAGAGATGTACCCCATCCCTTGCAAACTTATCACGTTTGCCATAATATTTGTCCCAGTTATCATTGAATGGGATTGCAAATTCCTTTCAGTACCTATCTACCCAGCAATTTATATCAGTTGCCCTAGATATTCATTCATTGCTCATTCCCCTTCTAGGCAAGATGCTACATATGATGCGGACCCCTCCCTTAGACCTAATTACATCTATGACTGACCGGTACTTATCCAGCAGCTCTTGTTTTTACCCTTCCCGATATCATTTCCACCAGCACTAAGACAGATGATGGGCTTGTTCCCATTACCTATCATAATATTATCCAACCTGTTGACTATGTCATCAACACCAGCTCCTGGGAAGCACACTCTGTCTAACATTCCTATCTCTGTTACAGAAAGCACAGTCCATATATCTTACCCGTGAGTCACCCATAACTAAAATGTTGTTACCTTGATTAGCAGGGGAGTAAGTGGTATTTTTAGTCTCGCTATCCACCGAAGTACACTCGTCCTGGAGAACAGAGAATATATTTCCTACCTTCTGATCTTCTCTATTAAGCTTCCTTATTTTGATACTTCTTCCTGTGTTGCTTTGATGCTGAGGGAGAACCTGTTCAGAGAATTTTAAGTTATCCTCTTCTTTCTTGGGACAGTTCTAATTAATTCCCACTCCCCAGGCACTGTGTGACTTACGGTTTAAGAGCTCTCCAGGCATATAATAAAGGGTTATGTAATAGCATTAGATTTATTGATTTTACACGAAACATTCCTTCAAGCTTAGAACAGGTCCAGATAATCTAGTTATTTTAAACAGGTATTTATAACTTTTCACAATGTGATGCTGTCAAACACGGCACGCGTGCCATAGGTTCACCAGCAAAGATAGATACAATCACATCCTAAAAATATATATAAATCAAATTTTCAGGGGATCTGAATCATGGTCCAGACAGGTAGTAGGTCACGTGATGTATAACTAAGCTGCCAAGCTTATATGTTTATGACAAACTAGTTACAGAAACATCAAACATTTTTATCAATCATTCAAATATATACATATATATATATATATATATATATATATATATATATATATATATATATATATATATATATATATATATATATATATATACCTTGCATTGTTCAAATCTCTAGTAAGGCTGATGCATGCAGAGGATGAGATGAAAAGCTGTAAGCCTTCTCCCTGAAAGCTGGCTGCCTTGGATCAAACGTGTAGCGCAAGCTACACGCCAAGGTATTGTCCAGTGTGGGTAGATTGGTAAAGCACTGCGTACCTTGTCCTAAGGTTCGTAGGTTCGAGTCTCCTTCAGCCAGAGATCAGTGTTTGTGTATATTTCGCCTGCTCTCGCGAATTCCCCATTCGTATATATATATATATATATATATATATATATAATATATATATATATATATATATATATATATATATATATATATATATGCAAAACAACCACTGTCAAAAAATAGTGAAATTCCAAGCGCTTTCGTGACTTCTCACATTATCAAGGACCTATAAAAACAATACATTAATAGAAGGCACAGAAAGGGTCGAGACCACTCCTCACTCCCACAACAAAGGTGTTTTCTCGACCCTATATATATATATATATATATATATATATATATATATATATATATATATATATATCCTAGAGGTAATAAAATTTATTTAAGAATACTTTAAAAAAATATATATTTTTATCGTTATGTTAAAATTTATTTTTGCAGGCTAGTGGCAAAAATAAATTTAGGCATAACTCGCCAGTTTGTGTAACCTCGGGTAATCGGAGAAAAGCATATCTCTCTTAGATTTCATAAATAGCAAATTTATCTAGTTTTGGTTAATCTTCATTGCCTGGAGGCTGCACGTACGTCCGGCTACTGTACGTCTTCTGACTTCTGTATAAATTCATCAATCTTGCTGCCTGTGCTTCAGATTCTTCAAGACTGCGGTGCTCATCACCTGCTCCTAGGCTGAGGGACTGATTATCTCATCTTCCACCGTCTGCTGTAAATACCTCTACTGTCGTCATGTATGTCCATGTAATGTATTGATAAAGCCACTGGATGGCCAAACTTCTCTAAGATACCCCAGTGTTGCACATTTGTCGAATTCATCAGCTTCAACACTGTTTGCATGACTTGTTGCAATAGATTAACATATAGTTAGGGTTGGTGCGACACTGTCCAGACTCATACCAAACAGCACAATATTTGTGTTTGTCCTCACAAGTTTCTGCCACCGCTTGAAAAGAAAAGAAAAATTATGTTAATTATTTATTACGGATTCATTTCCCCTCTTCACTGAAGCGTAAATACTTAATTTTTCTTAAATAAAGTAATGATTTTGCAATAGCTGATTTTAAAATAAATAATTTTTATTGTTCTATTTTAAAGTCTAGTTCCTACTTTCGCTTTTATTAAATTATATACATGAGTGTAGTCTCCTACCATGACTGAATAAACACGAATTTTAAGCACACAGACCGAAATAGGAAGTTTATCTGAAAGTCATATTAAAATAAATACAAGCCAGTCACATTAACACTTCACAGTGAGGATGCACAAAACTGAGAGCTGCAACATATCAAATATTGCAACATTTTACATATAAGGAGGAGAGATTTTCCTAGTTCTCGGAACATTCTCAGCAACATTTTCATTTTGCTTTCTAACAAACTTTCGACTGTTACTTAAGAACGTCTTATTCGATCCACTTCAAATTATCAACGCTGATGTTTTGTATTACGAGCAAGATTCATGGAACTGTTTACAGGTGTGGCTCCCTTCTACAAAATATTACAGAGGATATTCTCAAGTTTTGTTTCGGTGTGATAACTGAAGACTGGCGTCTCTGATCACCGTCAGAATTTCTACTCTCTTGTATGCTTTCTAGAAGAAAGTTCAAGGTTGGTATATGTAATGGAATATATAAATGCCACTTTTATTCTTGCAATGGTGTAGTATTATTTTACATTATTGAATTATTCTGCATTCATGCTGGGGAGGGGGCTCTTGATTCAGGGAACTGGACTTATCTTCCTCTTGCAAGGATAGAATTTAAATATCTCGCACGCAACAGGCGCTATAAAACCTCTATGGGTTTAGCTCTTTCCTCTGATTACAATAACATCAGTCTTTAATGGTTGATGCATTGTGGGAAATGTACCGAACGGTTCATGGTTTCCGCTATGTAGGCATAAATTTTGCTGGATTCTGTTCAGGAACTGGAAAATGCATTTTCTGGTCGGCTTTAAACTTTCAGTGATGATGTGTTTACCTGAAAGACGCGAATTTCTTGATGTTAGGTTGTGTAAGTTATCATGTGCCAATTCAAACTGATTTCTCTGCCAATTCAAACTGATTTTTGTGCCGATTCAAACTGATTTTTGTGCCAGTTCAAACTGATTTCAGTGAAATAAGTGGAGAATGTCTCTTCTGATAAAATACAAAACAGTTTGACTCCACGGTTATCCAAGAATAAATCAGCTTAATGCTCTTTTATGTACCTATAACTTGTGTGTGTTCTCAAGACCAGTGTTAAAAATTTTGTGTATTATGCACACTAAGTTATCATAAAACAAACTTGAGAACTTTTTTGAAAGCTGATTGATCTTACTTAGAAAAAAATTTGGATTCATTTTAGCCTGTGTAGGTATCATTATTTTTTGTAAAATTTTGGAAAAAATTAAATGTCACGTCTGATTAGCTTTAACTTCTCAATACTGATGACTGGGTAATTTTTGAGCTGCTTAATACTTGTTGTGCTTGTATAGTTTAGGATATTGATCTTTTTGGTCTCTTCCAAGTGTTTCATTTAGCTAAGGGTTGTGTGTTTTAATTTATTATTTTTATTTAGGAAATTTAGGTATTAGTTTCCACATGATCCTTGACTGAATCTTCTGATTCAGTTCAAATCTTCATTGCCAATATTCAACTGCATTATCACCTTAATCCACACTCTGCACTATTCCAGTGGCGTGAACTGGGACACAGGGGACTGGGATTATGGAATACGGGGATTCTTTTCTCGGATTGCGAAGCGACCGAAATATATCTACTTATTATTATCATCATAGGGAACAACAAACCTCGTAAAAGTCAAACGACATCTGTGAAATGGAGGAAATTAGGTTATATGTAAAGAAGAGGTTTGACTGTTTGGTTAAGGGTCCTTTACCAGCAACATTTCAAATTGCTTAATATGCATAACGCTGGTATGAGTGCAAAGTTCCTCACCGCTGACCTGAATCGTGGCAGAGTCCACAGGAAAGCTTGCAGAAGATGGTCATGTAGGTCGGGTTATTGGTGCACTCCCCCGCCTCGGCCCAGTAGCTGCAGTAGGGGTTGTTGTCGTGACACTCTTTACCTGTAATACCACCAGTTAATGTTATTATAAGACTTATCAACATACACATTCACATATGCATACACATGCAGACACATGCACACACACACACACACACACACACACACACCTGTGCGGGACCAGGAGCTAGGACATGACCCTTGCAACCTCAACTAGGTGAGTACAACTAGGTGAGTACACATTTTAATTGATTTGAAACCTACAATTTAGAGTAAGACTTCAGCTGCCCATCGCTGTCAGCATTTGGTATCCATTTAAGAATCTAACATTAAGAGAACAAGATTGTGAATATGTCATAGTGAAGGTTGTAATGCACTGATTACACTGATAAGAAACTGAACGAGAAGAGCAAAAAATTGAATATGCAGACATCTCTCCAGTGAAGTGTACGACATCCAGGATAGGCCGTCAGACATCAGTGGTCATACATTTGATGCGAAATCTAGACCTATGAAACTCGTCTATGTGTGAAGCAGTCTCCTGACTTGTGTTGGTTATTATTGTCCTTCTTTTACTTGGCTGTGAAGAGAACACTCCCTCCATACCTATGAGAACCAGGTAATGTATCGACACTGTGCTAAAATTACACAAGCAAAGAAGTAAATAAGCGTTAGCAACAGTAGAGAGACTGAATTAAAGCCACTCTCAGCAGGAGAGGAAAATGTAAACAAACAAGCCAGTATGCAGGTATACACTGTACACAACCTCCCCCCCCACACCCCCGTCCATAAACAAACACTCACCACACTGTAGACAAGCTTGCCGACAATTAACTCCCATCCAGGTAGGGTTAATTTTGCACTCTCCAAGCGTCGCCCAGGCTGGGCAGTGTTCACTGTTGTCTTCACACGTGTCTGTGGAACCACATGCTTTTAGATATTTAAGTTAGAATATATTTTGTTGTTAGTACAAACTAGAAAAATAATGGCTTGCTCTGCTGAGCTATTGATATCATGACATAGCTTCAATGGAAGAATATAAATTCAAATCATATGATTTCTAACTTCCTTCACATTACTTAAAAAAACGAATGGACACTCTTATTTCTATAAGATGTAAATATTATTTGCGTTTAAAGCCACTTTACTACATATATGTTTTATTAATTCAAAAACGACCCTTTACATTATTATTATTATTATTATTAAAGATTATCCGGTATTCTCCCGGCCCGGGCCTTTTCCAAGTGGTGGCCCGGCCTTGGCTCCCTCTTTAGGGAGTGTCTGAGACCTAAGTCTCCCATGGGAGGAGGCACAAGTACCTCCTCATCTTTGGGACCAACTGTCCCCAGGCCTAGCCACAAGCTAGGCCTCTCTGGTCTGCCATCCCCGCTCCAAGGGAACAAATGGGAATGACAGTCTTATGAGCTAAAGGCTCGGACTCAGGCACCTACCCTACCCTAGAAGGGTTAGGCATGGTGTCGAACCCTTTACATGAGGGTTGATAGTATTTTAGTTCCTGAAATCACGAAAAAATTATTGCTTGGGTGTATGTATTTCAGTGTATTTTAGAGTGTGCGGAAATGTTTAAGATTTTGCGTTCACCTTCAATACGGTAAAATATGAAAAAAATTAACATTGTACAGAATGGCTCTTGCACTTGAGGTCACGATCTTAGCATTCAAATAATTGTTGTACATCATTTCAGCCAAAACTGTATGAAATAACAGCAATGGCGATGCGTCGACAGTTACTTGAGCCATTTTTTTTATAATGACATATTTACTGTACAACATTGTACTATTGGTTAGGTTAGGTTAGGTTAGGTTAGGTTAGGTTAGGTTAGGTTAGGTTTGTCAGGAAACAGGACAAGTGTCTCCTGACGCGGGTCATAGTCAGATGATGACCCGCCGTTGGAGCTTTGGATCATCTGATCGAGGCCTTCCGTTGGCTCACCGGTCCAACCCTTTAAAAATTTTGGTCAATTACAAACATTTTTTTTGATCGTTTCACTACAAATTATCTTTGTAAACTTAATAAAACTATTTTGCGGTGAAGCGTTATACACTACTCTTGTGCAATCAATAGTATGTGTACCATTATAAATTATCACTGTAAGTCTGTTTAAGTCTTATGTGCGGCCTCAAACATGATTTAAATATTTTCAACATTCTGTTTATATTTACATTCGGGTTTCATTGTTATACAATCCTCTCAAATTATTTATATTAATAAAAACTGCCTGAAGGGCTGTTATGCGAATTTTGAGTTTAAGAGGACCACGGCAAAATTGGGTGACCCTGAACGCGCTATGATAATGAAGTTTTCATCATTTTTTTTTTTTTTCGAATTTTAAAGAAGTTGGCAAGACCACACCTGACACAGGTAATATCCATCCAAAATTTACAGAGCTAAACTTATATTGAGAATTCAAACCTCTCTCTAAATATGATACATCAGCGTTAAACTTAAATACATGTACATTGGTAAAATATCCCAGTAGTAAATAAAACACACATTATAAGTTATTTCCCAATAGCAAATAAAACACACATTGTAGGTTATATCCCAATAGTAAATAAAACACACATTGTAGGTTATATCCCAATAGTAAATAAAACACACATTGTAGGTTATATCCCAATAGCAAATAAAACACACATTATAAGTTATATCCCAACAGTAAATAAAACACACATTATAAGTTATATCCCAACAGTAAATAAAACACACATTGTAGGTTATATCCCAATAGTAAATAAAACACGTTGTAGGTTATATAAAGTCTATGGTGGACGGATCGTCCACCATAATTTACGAATTGTGAAAATAAAAGTTTAAAGCCACTGTATATAGAATCTTGTTTATAATAAAATGCCATAATTCATATTTTGTGTTATATTTGTATGCGTCTGTGTTAAAGAATCGAAGCCGAAGAGAAAATAATTAACTTTCACAGGCCATTTCTCTGTCATAGAAATGACAGCCCAATACCGATCAGAATCTTCCTTTAGGACTCACAGCAACAAAAGTTTAAAGATAATGAGAAGATGCTTTCAACAGTTATCATACCTTGTGAGATACCCTATAACACTACACTGCCAGATAACAAAGCAACCTTTCCTTTGAGCAAAATAACCCAATGATGATATTTGGAAACCTTGGAACAGCCAATCAAAAGAGGAATTTCCCAGTTATCGTCTGGAAACCACAAATCAGTATCCCTATACAATGTCATAACATTGACATGATAAAACTGTTTAGACAAAACAAAATGAAACCGGTTATATCAGAAGAGACCTTTGGAAAATCTGAGAGTGCCTTTAGGCATAGAGTGAACGAAGGCTGGCATAAGTGAATATTTGGTGAACCTTGGCTAGCATAGATGAAAATTAAGGTGAGCCCTGAGGAGCTTAAGGCAACAATTAAGTGAATCTAGATCAAAGTTTCGGTGAACCTAGGTGAATACAGGTGAATATTTCAATGAACCTAGGCAAACATACGTGAATATTAAGGTGAACCTAGGTGAATACAGGTGAATATTTCAATGAACCTAGGCAAACATACGTGAATATTAAGGTGAACCTAGGCAGCTTTAGATAAGTTAGGTAAAAGGACACAAGTGCAACTATTGTGCCATTTTACTGTAGCAACGTTGCGCTCCCCAGGAGCTTTATCGTGCTTTATCAACAGCTTGAGAAAGCTCCTGGAGAGCGAAACGTTGCCACAATAAAATGTCACATTAATTGCACTTGTGTCCTTTTACCTAACATATTGTCGGTAATTCTACCAACATTGATACAGACTTATATAAGTATTGTGATGAGCCCAGGGAAGTCCAGGTGGATATTTAGGTGAGGTTAAGAGAATTTCTACAGATAGGCAAACATAGGCTAATGAAAGTGAATGAATAAGTAAACCAAGGAATACGGAAGTAAATTATTAAATAATTTTTGTGTCTATGTAAGTTATCCATCTTTCGTTCATCCTATGAGAGATTAGATGAACACTGAACACTTAAGTGAAGGTAGTTAATCATAATATAATGAAGTGAACAAAGGCATACTTAGGCGACTAATTCTATAAAGTTAGACTAATTTAAGTTAATATTAAGGTATGCTTAGGATTACCTTAATTTGCCTTAGATGAATTTAGGTGATATTATGGTGAGCTTAGTCGAAATTAGATAGATATGTGGGAGAAAGTGAATGATCTTAGGAGCATTTCTACATAACTCAGGTTTAATTGAGTGAATCCTTAAGTGAAGTCATGTGACGTGAAGTCATGTGAAGTCATGAACTTAGATGAATTCAATTCGGAAAGACTTACCCGGGAGAGGAGTTGTAATGGGTAACTCTGTGGTGACGACAGTTTCCGCCGTCAGGTTAGCGCAGTTGTACAGTGTCTGAAGTTTCTGTATGTCAATCTGCAAAGTGATAGATAATTATTATTATTATTATTATTATTATTATTATTATTATTATTATTATTATTATTACTATTATTATTATTATTATTATTATTATTATTATTATTATTATTATTATTATTATTGTTATTATTATTATTTTTATTATCTTCATATCTATAAAGCAGAAAATACAATTGATTTTCTTTTATTAACGCATCGGCCGTTTCCCACCAAGGCAGGGTGGCCCCAAAATGAAAAACTTTCATCATTCTCTCGATCACTGTCTTGCCAGAGGCTCGCTTACACTACAGCTATAAAACTACAACATTAACACCCCTCCTTCAAAGTGCAGGCACTACTTCCCATCTCCAGGACACAAGTACAGTCTGCTGGTTTCCCTGTATCCCTTGTTCACACTCTAACAGCACGTCAAGTCATAAAAACCAGTTGTCTCCATTCTCTTCTAACACGCTCACGCATGGTTGCTGGGAATCCAAGCCCCTCGAGCACAAAACCTCCTTTACCCACTCCCTCGAGGCCTGGTCTCAGACCAAGCCGCGGGGGCGTTGACTACGAAACCCTCTCCAGGTATACTCCAGGTATAACCTTTCCTAGACCGACCCCTACCCCACCTTCCCTCCGCTACAGATTTATACACTCTCGAAGCATTATGTTTCGTTCCAACCTCTCTACATGTCTGAACCACCTCAATAATCCCTCCTCAGCCCTCTGGATAATAGTTTTGGTAATCCTACACCTCCTCCTAATCTCCAAACTACGGATTCTCTACATTATATTCACACCACATATTGCCCTCACCCATGACATCTCCACTGCCTCCAGCCTTCTCTTTGCTACAACATTCACCACCCATGCTTCACACCCATATAAGAGCATTGGTATAACTATATTGTCATATATTCCCCTCTTTGCTTCCATGGATAAAGTTCTTTGTCTCTACAGACTCCTCAGTGCACCACACACATTTTTCCCATCTCGTCTTTCATAGACCCATCTGTTGACACGTCCACTCTCAAATATCTGAATATATTCAGCAAGATTGGCATACCTTACAGAAAGCCCCTGGTTAGACAGATAATATTTGTCAGCTTTAAAATTAACTTAAACCTCCCTCTCTTCATCAACATTTACCAGCTTCTCAAAATATTCCCTCCATCTTCCCAGTAAATCCACCTCCCCATCCAATAACTCCCCTCTTTTCTTTTTAACTATAAGGCTTTCTTAGCTTATTAGTCTCACTAGATATTTTTTTCTTATTTCCCGCAAAATGTGTTAACAAAACCTCATCCACTCTCATTTGCTCTCCTGTTATATCTCCCTAATCAGTCTCTTAAATTCTCATATATTCGCCATTTACTCAGCCCTCCTTATATCACTTTTGCTTTGTAAAAATCTCTCATAAGCTTCTTCTCTCTTACCTCGCCATTCTACCATTCGCTCCTCTTCCCTCCTGCACCCACCCTATTATATTCACAAACATTTGCTGCACGCTCTAATCTGCATTCTTAAATCTAGTCAATATCTCGTTAAAATTCTCAGTGTTGCGTTTTTCCTGTTACTTTCGCTTGCCTTTTATGTGTAGTGAAGCAGGCATATACAGGTTATTCATTATTTTCTTTATTTAAAGTGTAATTTAAACATTAATGTATCTCATATATTTTGAACAGCCACAAAACAATAAGAGTAATAACGTGATGTACTAGTATCTTCCAACATTGTAACACTGTATCCTAATATTGTTACTGGTATTGCTGCAGTTACCAAATAATCATTGTATGCAGTGGAATATTACAGGAGTACCTAAATAACGTATCTATCATATTACGTAGGGTAGCAACCCAGCTTTGTTTATTAAAATAATCTATATCACCTCTGAGAAGCCTCGCCGCTGACCAATTTCCACTCCCGTCTTCCTAGGTATGATTGTGGGTCTGGCTCGGTCCTTAGCGAAGGCGTAAGGTCCATAGTGCATCACTGACCCTGTAAGTAGACAAGAAATATCAGTACTTTCAGAACCTTCTATGCGCAAAGAAAAAAAAGAGAGGCAGACATATATTTCTCATACTTTCATGTGAAAGGTCAAAGCCCGTATAAGTCATATGGTTTCTGTGTAATATAAGATAATCATGTTAGATCACATAGGCACATAGACAGATAAATATATGATTGTTAATAGTCACAATACCATTATTAAGTTAATTAGCAACTATCTCACAAACTGGAAGTTTGATGAGGGTAAATAAGTCAACATTTAAAAGGACTCAGTTTGAATTGCTTAGAAAGATTCCCGTGCAGTGAGAAGTGACCTAAGGGGAGTCTTTCAAGTGGTAGTGTTGAGCAATTTCTGTGAAGGGTTGGTGGGTCATACGAACTGCGAGGGGAAGGATGGGGTAGAGAAAGAGAGAGAGAGAGAGAGAGAGAGAGAGAGAGAGAGAGAGAGAGAGAGAGAGAGAGAGAGAGAGAGAGAGAGAGAGAAAGAGAGAGTAGGGAGGGAAAGAGAGAGAGAGAGCGAGAGAGAGAGAGAGAGAGAGAGAGAGAGAGAGAGAGAGAGAGAGAGAGAGAGAGAGAGAGAGAGAGAGAGAGAGAGAGAGAGAGAGAGAGAGAGAGAGAGAGATGAGGGAGGGATGAAGAGAGAGAGAGAGAAGACTTACAGATACGGTGCCGCTGGAGATAATGTATATGTACATCCCTCGAAAAGGTTCTTCGTGCACATCTATTTCTAACATCAGTTAAAGTGAGCCCAATTAACACTGAAATTTATTTATGGCAATGTATGGAGTAGTCTCATTAAAGTTGGATGTGGGACAGTGTGTGAAGTACACTTAGTGTCCAGTAAGTGCCTTCCTTATAACACAGGGACTGATGAGAATGGTGAGGTTTGCAGGTGGAGAAAAGAGAGCTGCACATTATTTAGAGTACAAACAGCTGGGTATTGAGCGTATATAACCTATTCCTCAAAATATACTCGGGAAGTAAATAATATTTTGCTAGTTCCTGGGCAGAAGAAATTACCTAAGTGTATAGTGACTCCCAGCTTCCCCTCTCCCCCACCTCATCGTAGTCCACCTTGCTACTAGGGTGGATCACAGTTTCTCTGGCTGCTAATTACACCTACTACACACTGTAGCTTCTTCCACCATACTGTAGTCCTGCCACAGTGTTACTTTACCCAGCATGTCGAACCTTATCCACATACCCTAGTTAATTTGACAAATGCTAATCAGCAATGGAAACTACATAGCTGGGAATGTTAGGGAAGGCAAGTGACGATCCTGCTTGCAGTTTCGTGGCCGTTAATAATAATAATTTCATCAGTAAACATGGTAGCTTCCTTGATCCAGGTTATCTTCCCGTAGAATGTGACGATTCACAGCTTCCTCACTCATCTGAATGCACAGCAACAGATCTCTGATTATGTAATGACATAGATTCAGCTAAAGCAACAGCTAACAGACCTTCCTACATATTCCTCAAGTAGCCTGTTTACACATATGTGCAACAGTTGGGTATCTTTGTTACTGAATGTGACGTTTCGCCTACACAGTAAGCTTCTTCAGTAAAACAGAAGCAGCAGGCTTGGTAGCGAAGTGTAGACGATGTAATCAGTCCATCAACCTTGGAGAAATAAGTTTTGAAGTTCTTAGTCCCTCAGCCTGGAGAAGTGTTGTGTTCCATAGTCTGGAACATTGTGAAGCTGAAGCATGAGAATGGAGACGAGATGGTCTAGATGGCGAAGCAGGAGGCAGAGACCACTAGCAGAAGAAGGGAAGAAGTAGAAGAGCACTGCATCTAGCCACGCTAAGCAGGTCCCTCTGGATTTCCAACCTTCTCACTCACAACTAGTAGCTAAGCGTTGAAGTAGTGGAACATACCGTTGTGTTGCTGTGTCAGATATGTTGAAAATGGTATATATTAACGAAAAGTTGAAGAGTAAGACACATGTGTAGCAGTCGGTTATTCAGAGCTTGGAGTAAGGCGATTTTACAACTAGCATTTCCGTGACTTGTTTGTATCAGCAGCAATAACTGTGACTGGCTCATCCAACAGCCCAAGAAGGCTTTCATGTTGCATCTGTTCTTATACCCTCAAAGCCAATTCTTATATATAGTCGTGAGTGATTGTGTTTTTTCTGTAGCTCAGCTCCCATGAAAGCCAGTGAAAATAAACTAGAGGCTTTCTCACACCAAGGTTTCAGGCTATACAACAATACAAAAATTAACACTAGGAACAACATCCCTTGTGACTCACGAAATCGCTTGTGGATGGGAGCGACATTATATTTTTGGCTGGACTGTGTTGAAGGGTATATCCTTTCGAAGCTCTTTCTTCTGATTTCTAAAACATATACAATCTTGCAAAATGTGGGGCGGTGGTACACTCTCTGAGTGAGAGAATTTTTTTTTTGTTACAAAATGTTGAGAGTCACTGACTCTCACCCGCCTCATGACAAGGCTCGTGTGGAATTGTTCCCCCATTACCTCCCTCCTGACGAAGTAGGAATAGGGGTCAGTCTTCCATACTCACCTCATGACAAGGCAGGCAAGTGGAGTTCACCACCTGCCTCTTGACAAGGTGGGTGTGAGGTGAAGATAAACACGGTTTTCTACTGAAGTTTATTGTCTGACCCAAGGGTGGTTCCTGATTTATCCAAGTGAAAACTCAACTGAGCTTCCACTTAAATAGACCCTCTGGGGTACCCTCTGCGACTGAGGGTACCCCAAAACACATCCGGGAAGGGGTATGCATAAAGCTTATTGAAATAAAACTGCAACTATTACCCAGGTGACAAAATTTACCCTGATGGTGCCCTAAAACTTTCCTATCGGTTACTATAAAAGTTTTCCAGAGAGTGCCCGAGGACCTATCTAGAAGATGCTTCAAGATTTGCCCAGAAGGTGACCTAATCCTTATCCAGAGGATACCTCAGGACATAACCACAAGGTGCCTGATAACTTTCTCAGATGATATGCAAAGACTTATCCATAGCATGTCCCAAGACTTACCCAAAGAAAATCCCAGGACATACCGAGATGGTATCCCAAGACTTACCCAGGTCATAGTCAATACCAAGGCTTTGGATGCGGTCCCACGGATATTTTTCAAAGTTGTACCACATGCCAGACTGTACATTGAGTTTGTTGATGGTGATATAGTTGTCGCGGTCTGCTCGTGACTGCTCGTGCCAGAAGCCGGCTGCATGCATGAGCTCATGCATGACGATCCCAACATAGAGACACCCGGGCCCCAGCGACACCGTCTGCGCACCACCCACACGACCCACAGAGCTGGAACACCTGTCAGAGTACACATCACAGTGACACCAGCAGAAAAATGAGACCTTTCTGTCCTTAATTTGACGAGTAAATTCCAATTATTATAAATGTAATAATTATTTTAAATATATTAAATAAAATATTGCAAGGTTGCCAATGGAATAAGTTAATTCCTCTGACTATTGGGTAATCTTAGGTAATTTACACATATATTACTGTGTATGGTGACTGTAACCACCCAAATCTGTGTAACTACTTATATGTACCTGTATCTAAATAAATTTACAAAGGAAGAGTTAAAACAATGGGGGTCATATAGTGCCTGAGGAATGGGAGATAATCTTGTTTGGTCTAAATCCAATTTCTACTACAACTGATGTCTCAAGAATGCCATGCAGTGTGGGTTTTTTTTTTTTTTGGGGGGGGGGGAGTTCCTTATAATCTTTCTCCTAGAATTCGACCTATATCATTCTCCTATCTTCCAGGTTCCTGTTTTCTATTAGATGAGCAACTTTTTAATAATGTAACTTTTCTTCTCTCTCAAACGTGGGCTCCTAAACGATTAAAAAGGAACTCTAACTAACTAAGATTTTACAATCTGTAGGAATAATTAAAAACTGGCTGCTAGAGTTAGACCCCAACAAGCTCAAGGTTACGAAAATTATAAGACACACAACTCTACACTAACCGTAAATTTGTATATTTGTGGGTTTTAAGCGACTTTTCTAAACAACTTGTTTTAGCTTAGGTTAATATAAATGAATTCAAATTTAGTAAATTCTACCAAAACGTAAAATAAGAAGAACATTTCTCACCTGGGATCTTGAGTTCTCGACGTAACAACGGCAGGAAAATTGGGAGTTTAACAGAATTTGAGGCATAGGGAGAACATCATTATTTAAAAGGTTTGTAAGTCGTTTATAAAGACACGCTCAGTTATAAAGATGGTTTGATGACACTTGACAGACAACTGGAAAGTTAGCGAAACTAACCTAACTAACCTGAGATAACTGCATTTCATTAAGCTTAACGTAATTTAACCTAATCTAACTTAACCTCACGTCTCCAAACATTACTTCATCTAACGTTAACGTTGTGATGGTGGTGGTGATGGTAGTGGTCGTGGTTGTTGGGGTGGTGGTGGTGGTGGTGATGGCGATGGTAGTGGTCGTGGTTGTCGTGGTGGTGATGTTGGTGGTGGCGGTGTTGATGGTGGGTTTTGTGGTGGGGGTGATGTTGGTGGAGGTGGTAGCGATACTGGTTTTGTTGTTTGTGGTGATACTGGTTGTGGTGGTGATAGTAGTGGTGATCTTTGGTGCAGGTGGTGGTAGTGGCGATGGAATTAATGCTATTGGTTGTGGTGGTTATTGGACCTGTGGATGGTGATGGTAGTGGTAATAGTGGTGGTGGAGGTGTTGGTGATAATGATAGTGGTGGTTGTAGTGATAGTGATGGTGGTGATGGGATAATAATAGTGGTGGTTGTAGTGATAGCGATGGTGGTGCTGATAGTGATGGTAGAGATGGTGGTGGTGGGGATGATAGTGGTTATAGTGATGGTGATAGTGAAGGTGTTGATAATGTTGGACGTGGTGATAGTGATGATAGTGATAGTGGTGGTCCTGGTGATAATGACAGTGATGTTGGTAATAGTAATGCTCGTAGTGATAGTGATGGTGTTGATACTGATGATGGTGGTGATAGACGTCATTTGGTTGCAGCAGATATTCATAGATATTTTACTTCTCACTCCCATTCCTGCCTTCGTTCCCTCCCTTCTTCCCCTCACTTTTTCTCCTCCGTCCTTCCCCTCTCTCCTTTCTTCCCAGCCTCCCCTCTCCATCCTTCTCTCCCTCCCGCTCACCCTCACTTACCCATCACCTTTAAGAATATGAATATAGTCTCTCTCAATGGTACGAGGTACCAGTCTGATACAGGTGTTCTTGTGGTACTGGTTGATGGCCATAGCAATGGTTCCTCTCTCCTGTGTGTCTGGAAATATCCACATTTACTTAAAGAACAAAATACAAATGGCAATTTATTTGTGTGTGCATACGCAAAAATCGCTAACAAGCGACACAGGATGCAAAGCAATCACAGGGGAGTTGAATGATTGCTGTAACCCTTTCGTGTTGCAATCAGCACATCATCAGGAACTTGCAATGTTGCAGAAATTAGTAGATTAGTTCAGAGGGAAACGTCCTCCTGAACGAATCTAAGTGGATTTCCTACATGTTTGTGCAACATTGCAAGCGCCTTTTGATGTGATGATTGCAGCATGAAAGGCCTACAGCTACATTCTGTGGTTGTTTTGCATGAATAAATATATTTATTTTCTTAAAGCGAAATAAACTGTTTACTCACGATACAAATATCAGTCTGAACATCAGAAAAAAAAATTCATTGAGGTATAAACAAGCCAGATACGATTGATCGAAAATATGTCCATAGAAAAAACTATATTTACGTTAACTGAATTTTGACTAGAGAAGGTTACTAAATATATTTTGGTGGAAATTTAAAAAAAAAAAAAAACAATGTTTACCACTTTGCAAAACTGAATTTCACAATACATAAAATATTTTTTTAATAAAGGACTACATATGCACATACAGTCTGCATTGTACACATACTCGTTCGCATATATTCTGTTTTGGTTCGCCTCATGGTGAGAGAAAACGCATGCCTATACATACCCATCCTGCTCTCCGTCTCGTTAGTGTGACTTTGTAACTGGTCCAAGTCGGACCGAAACGTCTTCGTAAGCTCCTCTCTTCTATGTGCAAGTTATTTGTGTATTGTTCCAGTCACGGCATTGTGCCTTTTTTTTTTTTTGTTATTTAGACCACTAGACCACACATTCCAGGC